GTTATAGTGTACTACAGTACAGACCACAGTTTACCACAGTGTGTTATAGTGTACTACAGTATAGAAAACAGTTTACCACAGCAGGTTGTAGTGTACTGTTGTTTACTACCGTGTTATAGTGTACTACAGTATGCAGTTCACTACACTGTGTTATAGTGTATTACAGTACATACCAGTTTACCACAGTGTGCTATAGAGTATTACAGTATATATTGCTGCTTCCTACAGTGTTGAAGTGCATTAGAGTGTACATATACAGTTTACTACAGTGGTTTATAGTGTACTACGGTATATGTTACTGTATATACTATAGTACTATTTAGTGAATAGTAAAATTAAAAGAGTCACTATAGTGTTTAATACAGAGAAATATTGAAGTTTTTCTGGGACCTTACATAAGATATTTATATATAATTAATTATTAATTCGATTTTTTAAGTAGCATTTTGTCGGAGGAGGAGGCAGATAACGTCACAACACGTCGTTGTCAATTAATTCGACTGTAATTATAAATGTACCGAGAGTATAGCTGGTGTAGTTCTCCAGAGACCCAACTCGCGAAACAGCTTTTCAGTTTCATACCTGTCGTGTCTTTACGCACTGAAGACCGAATGGCAGACCCGCCTCTTGTCCTCGCCTGTACCTTAAACCGAGAATAACGACGACAAGACTTAAAACAACGATTCCTCATGCTCTGAACTGTTATTTCGTTTCTGGAAATGCGGATAGTTTGCGCCCGCCCCCACCGCGCGCGGCGAACACGCCGGCTCGTGTCCACGAGCAGCACCTGGGCGCCGTCGGGATTTTTTTTTTTGTTGTTGTTGTTTTTGTTATGTATGATATTCAAATTCGCGTCCTGGATTCTGTTTCGTTAACCGCTGAAACTGGAATGCAACGAAAGATAAATCATTTAGTCTCTGGCAAACCGGCCAGTAGAGTATTACAGCATTTTTACCAGCAGTAGCAGAGGTTACTGCCCTTTAACAACAGTGAACACTGCAGAAAAACAGAGAAGGCGTTTCTACTTCGGGCAGTAAGCAGAACAGAGCAAGTAATTGCGCGCAAGGACAGTAAACTCTGTAACTGCCCCAGCACTGGCGCCCGTGGAGCTCGCGGGACCCTGCAGGGGCCGGTGAATCGCGCGCCTCCTCGCGCTCCCACGGCGCCTGCGCAGAGCAGATGCTGTAGCCGCTGTAGATGCTGTAGTGCTGTAGATAAGGACACGATAAGGTGTACAATAACGTTACTGTGCGGCCCACAGATAAAACGGGCGCTCCGTATCGTGTTATTCTGCAGGTGAAAGAAAGTGCACAGCAATGTTACCCTGCAGCTTACGGGAAAATTCCTCTCCGAGCCTGTCGTGGTGAGCTCCGCC